AATTTTTGCCATATTGTCATATTTCACATTTACAACTCACAAACTAATGAAAATTGTTCAGTTAATAGTCATGTAGTAACTTATCTTCCATGTAACCACTATGTGGCACACTGGAAATGAAATTGACAAAATATGGTATATGAAAAGTGATAATGTCATTAGAGTAAATGTTTAAATGATGTGTTTATTTTATTTTATCACTTTTTATGACATGTCGTAGTGGTAAGTGGACATATCACGAAATGAGTTCGTTTCATATAAAATGAGAGACAAATATTTTGTATTTATTGTTTTTTGTTGCTTATTAAACATATATATATTCCTTAACAATTTTTTTTTGCACAAAACCCGTTATCTAGAAAAGACGTTCTAATTAATGAAATGTTGAAAAAAATAAGAATGTGACTGAAAAGTTGAAAGCATAAGTGAGACATTGAGCAAAATATTGAAAACCTTAATTGCAATTAACATGTGGTGCAACAACCAAAAAAAATGGTATAAATATAAGGATTATTCCCCTAGTACGAGGAAAGTTTCACAGGCTACAGAGTGCTACTATGGCAGCATCCTGTCCATATGTTTTTTTTTTCTTTTTTATTCCTATCTTTCAATGATGTTTTGCCATGTGTTATATGTGAAACAATTCTGTGAAAAAAATTTGTACTTGCGGCATGATTCTAAATATAATTATCCTTTTATTTTAACATTTTACAATGTGACATAATTGTAATTTTGCATGCCACACAATAACTACTTAAAACATTCGTTGTGATATGACTATCAATTAAGCATTTTTCATCAATTTGGAAGCTCGCAGTTCACAGAGTTGTGAAACTTGAAATTAAATTAAAGTTCAATGACTCAATTAAAATTAAGAGCTTGTTCGGGAAAGATTTTTTTAAAAATAATTTCCAGTCACACATTCTACGAGATTCATAACATTTTCCTTTTTTTTTTAACCACGCATTCTCGAAAAAAAGAAAAATTCAATTGAAAAAATCTTTCCAAAACAAGCTCTAAATTTATGTTAGTAACTCAATTGAGATAAGTTAAAATTTAACGACCTAATTAATATTTTATTAAAAGTTCGAGGGCTGCAGATGAAATTTACCTTATTTATATCAACAAATCCTTCGACTATGTAGAATAAGTTGTGCATTAAGTTGAATCGTTGATACGGGCAACGAAATTCCTAGACATTTTCCGTGATTTCTTCTCATGGTAGCTTTTTATTATAAAGGTTGGGCCATCATGTTTGGAGCAATATTTTGATCTATAATGAATTTATAGGGTACAAAAGGTTTTTAGATTATTTACAAAAATAGTTTTGCATTGTCTAACTTTTGTGGGATCATCGATTTATTTCTAACAATAGTCTATTAGATTGAGAATACGAGGACAAAAATGAGTAGACCATTCCCCGAATAGGGGGATTTGGAGTAAATTAACGCTGGCAATTTATACGGGTCGAAATAATTTGCATATGTTTAACATGTTAGAGTGAACACGTCAATTGAAAATTTTCAGTACATTCTTTTATTTAGTCTTTGTTTGGTAGGGATTAAAATTAGATATTATTAGATTTTGATAAAAGTTGATGAAATATATAATTAAAAAATTGTGAATCTCATGAAATATATGGTTAAAATTAATTGTTAACTTGGATTTAAATTAAAATATGAATTTTAATTTCAACCAAACAAGGCTTAGGCCCCATTCGGGAGGGATTAAAAGCCAATTAAAATTGAAAATATGGTCGTTATTGAGTCTCACTCTTCTAATAAAAGTCAACAATAACGGCTAGTTTTTCAATTTTAATCTCTACCAAACAAGCTCCTAATTGACAGTTCTGTAGGTTCTTTATGTAACATTTAGATTGAACAGAGTCTAATGAATTCGATTAGCCATTTTCACAAATNTAATATTTCAATTCAAAATTTACATGATTTTCAATAGATTGCAGTATGTCCCTTTCCTCCTTTTTCCTTTTTCCCGCTCTCTAGGCACTATTTGAACGGATCTCTAGGTTTGGGTAGTGTTAAAGATTATCTTTGGTTAGTTTTTACATTTACCCTCAACTTATTTAGATTTTTTTGATAAATAATTAAGAAAAATGTAACGACGTATTTCTTTGTAAATTTTTATAGATCTTAAATTTTTGTGTTGACTTTTGACTGAATATAATCGTTTACGTTATTACTGCTCTCGATGATGATGGAGTTTTAGTTGCATAATATCCCTATTCGTTATTTTGCCACCTCGGTACAAGGATGAACATTTGGGCAAGTACCATTTCCTTCGTTTGCTATTAATCACGTTTTCTCTTCCAATAAAGACATTTTATCATAAAGAGAACTCTCACACTAAATAAAATCCAAGAATTTATTTTTGTTGTAACCATTAGTATAAATAATAAATAATTGTATTGATATTCATCTTATTCTAATTATCATCATGATTCACGAACAAGCCTATAAATATATACCCTCATAAAAGATAAACGAATATAAAAACTAAAAAATTTGAGAATTCGTGCACTTTGTCGTGACATTCTTACGTAGTATAGAAAAAAGTCACTAAGGAGCCCTTGTGGATAATTGCTTAAGGCTAAAGCTATTGTGTAAAAAAAAAAAAAAAAAAAAAAAAGAAGAAGAAACAAAATACCCAAAAGATATTCATATTATTGGATAATTGGACTTTAGGAGAAAAAGGGAAATGGAAAATAATTTTTTCCACCGTGGTCTACCTTTTGGCTTTTGCTTTCTCCACCCCTTTTGTCTCCTTGATTTATTTGTCCTTAAAAGGATCCACTCAACTACGCACGTAGGAATCCAACACAAATCTTTTCGTTGCTGTTTAGTGTTCTTCACGATGTTTCAAGATTATCAAATTACGTGGATCCAACAAAATAAATGTAAAATAACGCCCTCTGGATAGAACAAGAAAGAATTTATTGCTCTTTTATTTTCTTTCTTTTTTCAGTAGCTCTCATACACTAAAATCGGATCTTATACATTTGTAGAATTTCATCTGCCGCTTTTTTATTTAAAATAATGTTCATTCAAAAAATTAACAATTCATATATATGTTTGTCCGCCAAACTCTAGCTGTATTTTTTTTATCTATTACTAACGTAATCGAATAATATTAAATTAAATTATAAAAAATAAAAATCTTATATTCTAAATATGACTCCTTGGAGAACGTGGGACAAATATACCAAAATACTTTCTTTGTATTCTCTTCATTTAACTGAAAAAGTAAAATTGAGATTCTTTCCCTTAAAAACAAACAGAACACCGGCCCCGGGGGTTACTAATGGGTTGGTGACAACTTTATGTCTCATTTCGCATTTAGCTCTTAAGGTCCGTTTGATTGCGAATGTGGAAAATGAGTGAAAAAAAATATTTTACAGGGAATTGATTTACTTAGAAATTGTTGTACTGTGAATTGTAATTAATTGTGTTTGATTGATATAATTTTCCTTGGAAAATGTTGAAAGTTTGGTGTTCGTTGGACTTCGTTTTTAATGAAAATTGTCCATTAAAATGATAATATTTTCTATAATTGGGTTTAGAATTTGTTCCAATTGCCCAAAAAAATAAAAATACCGAATACCATTCGTTTGGCTTTGTTTTGCATGAAAATTGTCAATAAAAGTGATTTTTTTTATTATTGTGTCTAGAATTTTTTTCAATTGCTAAAAAAAAAACCTGGATAATATTTACCCACCAAAATATCAAGAATTTATTTTTCTAAAAAATATGAAAAATTTGGAAAGTTGAAAAATATTTTCCCGACTACAAAACTTGGAAAATGTGTACTAACAAACGTGGCCTTAGTGCCATCTTTTATACACAGTAAGAAAATTAGTAAATATTATGTTACGATAGTCGTTATTTATTATATATGGATATGTGAAAAAAATAAAAAAAAGGATTTTTCAATAACTACTTGTGGTTCTTATTAAAGGCAAAACTCGATCTCATAAAGTTAAACATATAAAGATAATGTGATCAATTAAAGATTAATTGTAAAATTAAAATTAAAAGTTAGACTTTTGAGGCAAGACAAACGGTACAATTTTTCTTCATTTCCTTTGACTCGACATCAGTATAATTTGAATCTTCTTGAAATGAAAATTCAAGCAATTACACAGTAATTACCTGATTAGGGGTAATAATCATCAATAATTAAAGAAAATCCACTAAAAGGCAAACAAAATTACTCCCACTTGTCTGGCACTCAATCATCTCACCTGGTCCCCTATATAGCCAAAAGACAGCCTTTTTCTCTGTACAATCAGTATTTTCAAAAAGATTATGGGTAATAAATCAATGACAAGATGATGGAATTAATTGTTTCAAAAATAATTAAACTTTCGAATATGCGTTCGACGATTTAGGCGAAATTATTTAAGTGGTAGACGAAATTTACACTCGACAATGATAGAATTAGACGGAAATTTGTGCCACGTACGTATTCCGTCAGTCGAGTCAATAAATGAATTTTAACAAGATGAATATTTTGATAGGAAAATTCTATTTGTACAATCTCGGTTGACAACCTCTCACATGCGTGCGGAGTTCGCATGTTTAAATTTTTTTTTTTAAAAAAAGTGAAATTTCATGTGAGTGGTTGTCAATCGATGTTGTCAATCTCGATTATACAACTAGCATGATATTTCAATAACATTTTAAAGTTTAGCGGCGACTTGAGTCAAAGTTTAGCTATTTATAGTCCCCAAATTCATGAATAATTAATTTTTAAATACTGTATATGACGATGACAATCAGTGTTAATAGAGGGAATTTCTTGGAGTGGAGATTGACTGGAAGGACTGTAGTGTGGTGAAGTGAAGTTAGTGTGTGAAATCATCGGTTTACTGTCCAAATATTTCTGCGCCACCGGCCCTGTTTCTTGTTCCGCCGCCGCCGGGATCGGTGGGTTAGTGCAATCTAAAAGGTTTTGATCTTTTCGTCCGCCAATAGAGTTGTGTCATGGGGTGCACGGCATCGAAGCTGGACAATGAGGACACGGTGCGACGGTGCAAGGAGCGGCGCCGCTTGATGAAGGAAGCGGTCTTTGCTCGCCACCACCTCGCCGCAGCCCACTCTGATTACTGCCGCTCCCTCCGCGTCACGGGCTCTGCTCTCGTGACATTTGCTTCCGGTGAACCCCTTTCCGTTTCTGACCAGACCCCCGCAGTGCTCCTCCGCAACCCCTCCTCCGTCTCAACCACTGCCGCCACCGCTGCCGCTACCACTAAACCATCCTTTAACCCTCCTCCTGCTCATCACATCTCTTCCCCTCGCCCTTCTTCTCTCCACCCCCCTCCTCCACCTCCGTTATCCACCACCTCCACCCATCACCAGCAGCAGCCCCCACCGCGTCGCAAAAAACCCGTCAAACTTCCACACATACTCTCTGACTCAAGTTTTTCATCCTCACCTCTGCCCCAGCAATTCGACCAAAAGTTCACTGACGATGCGAGAGCTAATTCAACTTACTCCGGCACCCCTTCCCAGGCATCCTCAGTATGGAACTGGGATAATTTCTATCCTCCGCCCTCTCCTCCCGACTCCGAATACTTCCGGAAACTCCAAAATAACAAGAATTCATCTCGAATTCGGCAACAGCAAGACGATCGTTACACTAATGTTGATGATGATGATAAGGAATCAATCCTTACATCAAATTCCCAAGTTCGCGATCTGGACGATCAATTTCAAAATCCTTTTAGCAGCAGCAACGGACAATTTGATGATAAAGCATCCAATTATTCATCATATTCTCGTTATTCGGATAATAGCAGCAGTTATCCAAGAAAACCTACGAGCCTAGGTCCTGTGCCAGTGCGAAAGGAAGGACTCCATCCGAAAAGCTGGGAAAGCGAAGAAGAGGAGACGGAGAGGGAGGAGGTGCAGTGTAGTGACTGGGGTGATCATGATCATGATCATTATAGTAGTACAACAAGCTCTTCTAACGAGGATGAGGATTTGAAGTCCAGATCTAATGCTGGGACCTGGTCGAATTTCGGACCAGTGAAAGATGAGGCTCCTTCTCCTCATGTGGGGGATGCAAATGCGAATATGAATTCCAAGTTCTCGAGAAAACTGGAGAAGCTTTCATCCGGGGACGGGAAGTCATCCGTCAGTTGGGAAAATAGTGTTAATGAAGGGATGGATTCTGATAGGAGGATTGTGGTTAGGCACAAGGATTTGGCAGAGATTGTAAATGCAATCAGGGAGTATTTCGACAAGGCGGCTTCTGCAGGTGAGCAGGTTTCTGAGGTGCTTGAGGTCGGGCGGGCTCAGCTGGACCGGAGCTTTAAGCAGTTGAAAAGTGAGTTTAGTTATTGGATTCTTGAATCAAGAATGTTTGTTCTTATCAAGAGTGTTTGTTCTTTCTTAAAACTTTTTATCACTAAAAAGAATCCATCTTTTTACAGTTCAACATTAGCTTTAGCTATGATGAAACATTATTGTTTGGGTTGTCTTTGCCTTTTTAATCAAGTCTCTACTTGAAATGCTCTTAGTGATATTGAAGTTTTTGAATTGAAATGCTTTAAGTGATATTGAATTGTTGTCTTCATGTTTTGATTGATTTTCATTATTTGGCATCACAGAGACTGTCTATCATTCGAGTGGAATGTTGAGTAACCTGAGCTCTAGCTGGACATCGAAGCCTCCAATAGCCGTTAAGTACAGGTTGGATCCCAATTCGATCGACCAGCCAGGTGGTCCAAAGAGCATTTGCTCGACTTTGGAGCGGCTTTTGGCTTGGGAAAAGAAACTATATCAAGAAATAAAGGTACCAATCTAATCCATTGTTCATAACTTTAAGTTCATTTTCATTCTATTTGATTCTTTGTGTTGGCACAAAGTGATGATCTCTTTGCTGGGTTGTATATTTATGGTGAAATGACAAAACAGTCCCCTGAAAGTAAAGGAGCCTTGTAAAAATTTAGCACTTGTATCATTTTGGTTTATGCTTATCAGTAACTGCTAGTGAAAACACCTTTCTTGGGCAATCTCTTAGGATTTTACATTAGAACATGCTGGTGGGTCTGCCTTCCCAACTAACTATATCCTTGGTACTAGCTGATGTTTGCCTGTCAACAAGGAAAAACATATGAAATAATTTTAATGTTAAATGACTACCTCTGTTTTATATGCAGTTAATTTATCAGAATTTAATATTTAGCGGGTTGAGTTGCTTGATATGTCATTAAATCGTAGTGCGAGTGCAGTTAGTATTTAGCCTTTACAATATAAGGATCCAGAAATTCCTGTCAACAATTTTTGTTTTCAAGATCGAACCATAAAGATGTAAATATGCACTTAGTAAAATTTGAAGGCCTCGTATAGTCCTCACTTTTGCTTTTCTTGTAAACAATAAGCAGTTATTTAATGGTTAATTGTAAAGGCTCATAAGCATGTCTTTTAAAATGAATGTATAGTTCTTGATATTCAACTACATGTGGAACTTTAAATTATTTAGCTTTGCTTCATTCTACTGGTTTAACTGTTATTGCCTGGATGACAATGAACATAGGCTAGAGAAGGAGTAAAAATTGAGCACGAGAAAAAGTTGGCAGCACTTCAAAGTCAGGAGTACAGGGGGAATGAGGAAGCCAAGTTGGATAAAACGAAGGCGTCAATACAGAGGTTGCAATCCCTAATTTTTGTTACGTCTCAGGCTGTGTCTACAACCTCCTCTGCTATCACCTGTCTAAGAGACTCTGACCTCGTCCCGCAGCTTGTTGAACTTTGTCATGGGTAAGCACAATCTCCTTTTGTGTTTCTTGAACTAGAAAATCGATTTTCCTGAAATTCTATACAAAGATAAATTATTGTGTTAAAATTTTATTAATATTTGATGTTGATTCATTTAAAAATATGATTCTAGCTAATATTTGTATTGATAAATGAATTTAGGTTCATGTACATGTGGAAATCAATGCATCAATTTCATGATGTCCAGAATGACATTGTGCAGCAAGTGCGGGGACTTGTTAACCGAGCAACCAAAGGTGAATCAACCTCTAACTTGCACAGGCAGGCTACACGTGATCTCGAGTCAGCAGTATCAGCCTGGCACTCTAGTTTCTGCCGAATGATAACATTTCAACAGGATTTTATCCGTTCTCTACATGGCTGGTTCAAGCTTACTCTCCTTCCAGTCAACAATGCACCAACTAACGACAACTGGGAACAATCCGAGGCTTTTGCCTTCTGTGATGAGTGGAAACTTACACTCGACCGCATCCCAAATACAGTAGCATCCGAAGCCATCAAAAGCTTCATTAATGTGGTTCATTCAATCTCTTTGAAACAAACCGAGGAGCTCAAGATCAAGAAACGAACAGAAACTGCATCGAAGGAGCTTGAAAAAAAAGCTTCCTCTCTCAGGAACATTGAGAAGAAGTATTATCACTCCTACTCTGTGGTCGGCATTGGCCTACCTGAAACTGGGCCTGATAATGGGCATGCTTTGGATGCACGAGACCCGCTAGTCGATAAAAAAGCCAAGCTTGCAACTTGCCAAAGACGGGTTGAAGATGAGATGCTGAAACACTTGAAGGCAGTCGAGGTGACCCGAGCAATGACACTAAATAACATTCAGACAGGTTTACCTGGAGTTTTCCAATCTATGGCCAGTTTTTCTGCCTTGATCACAGAGGCACTTGAGGCAGTTTGCGTCCGCTCTTATGCCATTAAGTAGATGAGCATCTATAGTTTACCTTATATTGTGTTTTTTTAGCTTATTATTTGGTTTGGAGGCAATCTGAAAATAGAACGCCTCACACTTTTTTCGGTGGTGGGCTTGTTTTTTGACAGTTTATGTTAATTTGGCTTTTCAGTATGTAAATATGTGGGGATAGGAATAACTCTGTAAAAAAAAATTGCTTGCACAATTACATGAGTCCAGATATTCAGTGTTTTCCAGCAGATGATAAGTTGATTGCGCTTTTGCTTTTGTTTAAATTCTGGCACACCCCTTTCTTTTATATAATCGGTCTGTAACTGTTTAGTTTAATATATCAAACATGAATGCCTGAACGCCAATTATAGACATAGTATCGAATAGTACAAATTTATAAGAAATACCTTTTTCTTTTATAAAAATATATTTCTTTAATATTGTAGAGTACTATCAAATTGTCTCCAAGAAACACGGGGTACGTCCCCAGCTGCATGTAGCATGTTAAAAGAAAAACCATGAGAGAAGTTTTCTCAACTACCTCTTGCTGGAAGTTTAGTACTGAACTGCCAAGAAACATGGACTATCAGATTGCATGTTGGCTTGGATTGTTTCCTCAATAGCCTGTCTGAAAAACAGATTAGTGATGAACCAAATCTTTAGTCCTCTATTACAAGTTAAATAGCAGCTTCTTTATTGCTTACAGCGGTTTTCTTGGATCTGCAGCTCAAGTCTCCAACTGGGTTCTTCGGTCTAGTCAAGGGGTGGAAGGTAGATCCAAATAGACTAATTAAGTTGATATTTCAATATAGGTTTCAAGATTCATGAGGAGATCGAAAATCAAAACATTTAGAGCCTGTTTGGTAGGGATTTTTGGGGGAAGAATTGATTTTGAATAGTGATATGATGGGAAATGTGTGGTTGAAAAAGAAGAAAAAAGTATTGATGTGATGGAAAATATTATTTTATTGAAGAATGTGTGGTTGAAAATGAGAATTGATTTGAGAATTGATTTGAGAATCAGAAACAAACATGGCCTTAAATAAACAATCAATCAGTTTAAAATATTTCAAAATTTATGTTACCGAACGAGCCACCTGGATCATATTAAGGTAAAAGCGCACATTGGCTAAATTTGAAAATTGCAACCAAGTTACCAATATATTCTTAGGTTAGACTACCTTATTTAACAAGGTTAAATGGAATTCATGACTCAATTCTATTGTCACAAAGTACAACTGATTTTCTAATATCTACTCTTAAAATAAAAGCTACTTTTGATACCCAAATACCCATCAAAATTTAAAAATAAAATGGATATAATCCTTTTAGTAAAGCTATAAACTTTACAAAATTAATTGCAACTCGTTTAGAGTTTGATTTATCTTACTTGAAAGTAAGAGTTATTTTGATATTACTTTTAAATTAAGTTACTCAATAATTTTCATAGCAAACAAATTATTTATTTGAAAGCTTACTTATTTAATGTACATTTTTTAAGCCTCGCACTAATTTATTCCCAGCAGAGATAAATAAATGAGAATTCTACTCAAGGGAGCAAGAAAAATGACATGATTATATATAAAGATTTCCTGGACTATGATAATATCACTAAAATAAGGAAATATTATTAGAATTTTCATCCTTCAAATTCCACATAATTTTGCAGCTGAGTTCTTTAATACATATTGACACGTCAGAGTCCTCGATAAGAATGATAAAAACATGGATTTTACTATTTGTACAATCATCCATAGCAACTTTGTTGACACTGTGGTGTGTTGGCAAAAAGTTGTGGCTACAAAAGTAACTTTTTGTTAAAACTGTCGAATGACGTAATGTCACATGACATTATGTGAATAAAGTTGTCAACAAATTTGTACATCAAACATGACTTTAAAAACATACCAACTACAATTATCTAAATGGAACTGTAAAAAATGCAGCCAGATAAGTAAAAAATTATACATTAGTAAAATGTTGAGGAGCTGATTCATCTTACGCCTTCCCCCAATCTTTCTGCATTCTCTAGCAGGTTGATAACTCGGATTGAATAAAGAACAGCTTGGATGGCGTCATGAGAAGGCAAATCGCCTATCAAAATAAATGGGAAGTATCTATTTTCAAGCACATAATATACACAATCAGGCGCCGTACAAAATTTAGTTGAATTTTGTAACCTATCATATGAAGCTCAAATCGAGTCATATGAGTGGATACAAAATCAATGTGTTGAGAAAAGTTGATAAGGAACAAGAAAAACCAGCAACAAGAATTTCGTCAAAATGGAAGATTTGAACAAGATTATGAATCACTGTCTTCAAACGATATTTGCTGCCACGGTTATAAGTGCTTGAAGGCTTCATTATCAAATAGTTTGCAAAAGTAAACAAACTTTAATCCAAGTTATAATCAAGCAAAACCAATTTTGGAAATGAACTTTTACAACAAATATATAAAACTTGAATTGAACTTTTGATTTGGATATATGTGTATCAATTTGATGTTTGTGATATGTTTTTCGACATGAAAACCATCCATATATATAATACTACAACCTCCATGCACGAAAAGAACCAAAAACCAAGCCAAAAAGGTATGAAACCCTTCAAAATGACGCCATAATTCAAAACCCCATCAAGCAAAATCGAGCGCCCACCCAGTTCATCAAATTTGCCCCTGTAATTGCAACACAAGGCCGGGCGACCACCCAACCTTCGTCCATGCCATTTTTCGGCATTTAACTTATTTGTTCTCATTTTATTTTCACTTGTTTTTCTCATGGTTGACCACTTCCATTACTTACAAAATCACTCGTCATTGTTAATTTGAACAATATCCAACAATCTCCCACTTGTTCAAATATAAAATAAGTACAAACTCAAGATTAACTACACTTATTCATAGAGTATGTATATCTTTCGATTTAAATCCAACCTTAGTGTAAATCTCACAAAGTGATCATCGAAATCATAGGTAGCATAAAAGCTTTGAACCTATTATTCCTTGTGATGATACAGTATTTCACATACACAAGTATCAAGTGTTTTAAGTTCCATACAATCTCGTTTAACGCTCTTATGGCCTTGCGTTTCTCCTATTCATAAACTTTTAAGAGAAAAACGCCAACTCTCTATTACCACCTCGAAATTTGTATAGGTAAAGTTCTTATAGTATCTTTTTCACTTTTAGAGATACTTGATCCACCGATCCGAACTTTATTAAGAGTTATTGAAGTTCAAACCTTGTATTCATGACAACCAACACTTATAACCTAAGATAAGGTTTAAAGAATAATTAAGTGTTGAATCTATCCACTTATCGAATAACTTGTTGTTACTCAAGTATACTTGTTAATACAGTCAGGTAAGGTTGTCGTTATTGATGGATTTAATTACGGAGTTTTAACCCCCATCCTACTAGTTGTTATCCATACTAATTCCCTTATGAGTGATTTGGTGAACGGGTCAACCAAATTTTTATTTGACTTCACATAAGTAAGTGAAAATTATTCCATCTTTGATCAATTTTCTCAAATAATTATGTCTTAGACTCTTATGTCTAAACTTACCATTATACACTTTATTGTATGCTCTAACTAAAGTGTCTGACTATCACATAAGATGGATATTGAAGAATTATTCACTTCTCCTAATGGAACTTCATACATAAAATCCCTAAGCCATTCATCTTCTTTTTCGGTTTCAGACAATGCCACAAATTCTAATTCCATAGTTGAGTGAGTAATAAACGTTTGTTTCTTGGATTTCCAGGAGACCGCACCTCCTCTAAGGATAAATACCCAACCTAGGTTGATTTACTCTCACCAACATTAGATATCCAACTAGCATCGGTAAATCCTTCTAGAATTGCCAAAAACTTAGAATATTGGAGACCTAGATAATTGGTTTTCTTCAAATAACCAAGAACCCTTCCGATAGCCTTCCAATGCTCTTCACTTGGATTTCTAGTAAACCGACTAAATTTACTAATTGCAAATGCTATGTCGGGTCTTGTACATTGCACAATATACATTAGACTCTTGATAGCACTTGTATACTTAAGTTGTGATATAGCTCTTATGTAATTCTTTACAAGTTTTAAATTTGGATCAAATGGAATGTTAGCCTATTTAATGTTCATGTTTTTGAACTTATTAATGAAATTCTCAACATAATGTGATTGACTTAACATATAACCCCCACTTGGTTCGATGACTTCGATACCTAGTACGGTATCAACTTGATCAAAATCTTTCATTTTGAATGTGGCGCAAACATCTTTATTTTTTTTATACCTTGAATTTAATTGCTCACAATAAACATGTTATCCATGTATAAACAAATCAGCATAACTTGATTATCACAGACTATTGAATATTAAACATTTATCAACATTATTATTGTTTAAATCTAAAAAAACATTATTATTAAATCAAACTTTTCGTGTCATTTCTTTGGTGCTTGTTTTAATCCATATAAATATTTTATTAACTTGTATACTTTATCCACATTTTCAGGTAGAATAAAACCTTCTGATTGTTCCATGGACATCCTCATCGAGATCCCCATTTAAGAATATTGTTTTAACATTCATTTGATGTATATACACATTATAGATAGAAGTAAAAGAGAATATAATCATAATTGATTTTATTCGTGCAATTGGTGCATACATGTCAAAGTAATTTATTCCTTCATTTTGTCGATATCCTTCGCCCACTAACCTAGCTTTAAAGGTAATAAGAGTACATCTCCATTGTACTTCCTCCTAAATACCTATTTGTAGCTTATATATTTTGATTTAAGTGGTAAATCGACTAAATTTCAAGTGCTATTTGACATTATTGAATCAATTTAATCATTTACAACATATTTCCAAATTGTGCTACATCCAAATGACATTGCTTCTTGATAAGTTTTAGGATCGATTTTCATTTGAAGAATAAACAGAGTAGTTCTTGTGACACTTTTCTTATTTCTCTCAACTAGATAGAAAGAAATAAGTTGAGAGTCTAATTCATCTGGTCATAGCACTTTATCTTTTTGAGCTCTTTTACTTCTGCAAAGTTAACTTATTTCAGCATTCTTGAAAAGTGTTTTTATTGTGATCTTACAAAAATAGGAATCTCCACTTGAGATTTCCTTAGAGAATTATTATCTGAAGATAACATATTTTCAAAGAGCTCTACTTCACTGGATTCAATAGTAACATTGGCTTCCATGATTAATAAACAATATGCCTTGTTTTTTGAGCATATCTTACAAAAGCGCATTTGATCCCTCTAAGACTCAACTTAGTCCTTTAGGATCCATATTCTTACTATAAGCAAGACACTTCACACTTTGAAATAACCAATATTCGATTTTCTCCCTTTCTACAATTCATATGGAAAAACTTTAAATCTTTTAAAAGGAATCCTATTAATTATGTGACACGCACTTAATAAAGCTTTACCTATAAGTTAGATGACAACTTAGCTTTTAATAACATAGCATTTATCAATTCAACTAGCGTCATATTTTTTATCTCAACCAAACCATTTTGTTCAAGTGTTTTACATGCACTACATTGATGTATTATGCCATGTTGTTGACAAAAAAATGTTAAATTCACTCGAGAAGTATTCACCTCCTCTATCACTATTAAGAATTTTAATCTTTCTATTTAATTGATTTTACTTCACTTTGTATATCTTAAATATGTTATAAGGCTTCATCCTTATGTTTCATCAAGTAGATATATCAAACCTAAAATGATCATCTATGAAT